TTGAAAACATACATCATTTGATAACCAATTTTTACAATGTAACAATAATTATTTCTTACATGTATGTAAATGATATGATACAACTACATATATAAATTAAAAAGTTACATAACTATTATATAATAATAACTGTGAAAGTATCGCCCAATTTAACAAGGTGAAGTAAATAACTTATTTAATTCAGCTACCTCATAACCACTAAGAGACAAAAATCTCCGTACCTAATTTTAAATTAGGATGTATATCTCCATATAAATATCACACTCCCATCCATCCATACTGCTAACAACTTTATAATACTTATACGTCGAAGGAATAGGTAAAAGATAGACGGGTTCTTTAAATTGGGATAATATGTATAAATATATTCAAAAATGTATAAATTGATAATTATATATAAATATATGTATATATACGCAACCTGTGTCACCAGGAAACATGAGCAAGCATGCGCACACGAACGCAATGCATGCGCACTACCCATGGGACGAGATACAGCAGATGACTTAAGCATGCGAACGCACTTATCTAAAGTCATCCACAATAGCAGCACAATTCCAACGCCATCGAGTACAATCATATTTATAACAAGCGCATAATAATAATGTTTCTTCGGTATGATACTTTATCGTTAGACGAAGACAATGCTACGTTTTCACTATTTGTCACCATCACTTCGCTACATTTTTCTATGTTCTCCTCCATTCTTTTATATGCTTCTGACAGCATATCCAGTGATTTCATATCAAAGACATATTCTGCCTGTTATTACGATATGCTGTTGCACATTATACCAAAATTAGAAATTTGACATTTCTGCATTTTGATTTAAGTTGGCATTTACCTCTAGTCTGAGCGTGAAAATCCACGCGAGAGGATTGAGGCCGCACTGGACGGGGACTTGATAAGCAAAACAAAAGTCTATCTAAGATGGCCGCTCTGTGCGCATCATCAGCTACCAAGCCTGATAAAAAGGAACGCTCGTTCCCAGCCTGACCTAACGCAAGCCATGACTAAAACGAGAGTCCCTCTCCCCAATTTCAGACGTCCCCCTCAACGGTAGCTATAGCTGTAGCAGCTAAATAAAACTCCTCGTACCCCAATGCAAACCTGCCTCAAGCAAGGAAAAACACATGCCAGCAGTTAAAATTTGAGGATTACAAAGTACTGGCCTTATATTATTATGAAACACTTCATGAATCCTATCTACTGTCATATTTATCACACCTATAACATCTATCATTACCACTCTAATATAATTTTGGTTTCGAAACAACGAAAGAAAAAACACATTATGTTAACTTAACGGCCAATAAATACACTATAAGTATCATTATCAGTTACTTATTTTTCACAATCTTTCTCACCCCACCAGATGTCACCTCCTTGATCTGCTCGGTCTCAATGGTTGCTGATGTCAACCTCAACGCCGCCTCGTCGACGGTCTGTCACAAAAAGGGGCAAAAAAACGTGAAGACCAAAAATAATGCGAGTAAACGTGAGATAGGCTCGATCACTAAGAAAAAATGGTGGCGAGAGAGGTCTTAAAAATACCACTATACTACAATTTTTCAAGCCCATAACCTGTTAGCAGTATGGATGTATGGATATGTGATCTGGAAATAAAATGTTCGACACTATCACTCTTATTGTTAAATACGAACACGTTTATTTTCCCTATTGTGAGTATACGCTATCTTTAGTCTTTACGATTAAAAATACAATCGTAAGCTGAACTGAAATAAAGCAAGATCGAATTAAGTAAGGAAGTAGAAAAGCAGGGAGTGCGTATCGACAGACTGACGGCGCGTGGATAAATCAAGCTATACGTTTTCAATGCTGTATTGCAGCGTCACAGCGTGTCGACTCCCTGCTACTACACATGCGCTGAAATTCAATTACGAGCGCCAAACATATATCTCACAAAAATAATTATTGTTGTTTTCCAATTTTGTAAATAAATAAACCAAAGTTAAATTTTATAACTGCAATTTAAAATAATAATGATAGTGAAATCAACCAAATGATTTAAGAACAGTTAAAATAATTTTTTTTTTACATGTAACTAAGCTATTATATTATAATATATTTTTTTAGAGATTTTTTATTCTGAAAAATTTCAAATTAAACTTTCTTAACAAAAAGTATCATCATGAAAAAAAAATGTATTGTGTCATGTATACTTGTTAAATCATGAAATATTCATAAATATAAAAACCTTTAGTTTATTGCCATGAATACTTCCGATTTCTCTATAAAAATGATGAATTAAAGTCAATTAGTTATGTAAAAATCTCTTTCTAAACAATATTATCTATTTCTGTATTTTTTTTTCTTTCTACTTGAATAAATAAATTATTTTTATTTTTGCATCTTCATAAAGCCACGTATAATATGACCATGAGAAAATAAGGGTTTTCTTTAGTACAAATCTACATTATCGAAACTTTGACCTTGAAATTTGTTTATTGCCATAGCATATGCCACAACGATTGAAAATTGTCTACGATACAAAATAAAAATTAATGTTGAGGTGTTTTCCGTGTCTAAAGTTATTCTTGGAATGAAGACTCTATTTCTAATTTTTTCTCCAGTTATTACTTCTCCTTCTTTATTATAATGTAATAATTTCGTGATTCGTAAGCGTGTTTTATTACGCAGCCCATCTGATATACTTAAATTTTTTAGTAACAAGACCATTGTCCTCATTTTTTGATTTACATCATGAGGTGGTTATCTTTTACGAATATGACTGAGTATTTTCACCGGAAAATTTAAATAAATATTATCGTCCAATGCATAAACTCCTCTATAAGTTGCGTTATCTATACTATAGTAAGCCTTAATTTCTCCAGTTAACTTTTTAAAAATTTCGTAATCTAAATAAAAGGTGTACTTGGTATATGATGTTAGTATAACACTATTCATCGAACAATTATAGATATTATAAAATATTTGAAAACATACATCATTTGATAACCAATTTTTAGAAATGTTAGAAGTTTTACTTCCCCTTCCTGAATTTTCACTAATAATTTTGAAAATCCTTTATGGTTATAACGAATATTGATTTCTAGCTTTAAAATTTCGATCCATAAAAATGATGATTTAACAGTTCCTTCAATTATAATTTTTTTATTACCGTAGTTTATTACTGGGAGAATCTGTCAATAATAACCTCCTAAAATAGTTAATTTATTTCCAAAATATTTTTCAGTATTACATGAATCTCTTAACGTTCTGTCAATCGTTTTCAATGCTTTTTTTAGAATTATTAAAGCCTGATCCGAAATAACTAAATCAAGGTCTCTTGAATTTTTTTTATCTAACTCGAATTTTAAAATGGCAACTATATTATTGAAATTTTAAGGAAGTCTGAAAGTTCTATGACTCGTCATCTTCTTTGGAAGTAAAATTGATGCTATGCCAGTCCATGCCATTGATGCAATTTTTTTATTTTGAAAAATAAAAAAAAAATTACGTTTCATTTTAATAAGTTTTTCTGACCCTCCTGGATCATCTGCAATGAAAATATTGTTTTTTTGTACGCAAATAATATGAAATATTTTCTTCTGGTCATTATTAAAACTTTTATACATCGAGTTAGACATTTTTTTACTGAAACGTTTTTCCTTACATAGATAATTTCTTCTTTTTTATTTTCCATTTTGTTGGGTGTAGACAAATTAAAGCATTTTCATGATTTATCTTCTGATTCTAAAATTTGTTCACTATGTAAAAGAGCTAAATTATCTTTATTATTAGGCAAATCCTCCGTAAAAATTTTTTTGTATTTATTTGATATTATATCACCTTGATCGTTCTCTGATATTAAAAACCTAGCAAAAAATTGTCTTAATTGATATGGAAACATAACAGTAATTGCTTCTTCAAAAATGGCATCTTTCTTTTCATCATTGTCTTTTAAACCCAGTATCTTAGAAAGTTCCATGTGTTATTTCTTTATATGTTCTAATATCTTTCCACGATGTCGAACCAGTCACTTTATTCATAGCAAGTTAAAAAAAATCTTTCAAGATTTTTTGGGGATACAATGTTTAATCTACCTATTGTTGTATGTTTTATTATATACTCGTCTTCTTTTCCATATTTTTAATTTAAAAATGTAGTATTCTGGAATGTTCACATACTTTATAGATTTTGCAAAGTCATCATGTTTATTTAATTTGAACCAAGCTGTTAACTATACTTCGTAGTTTTCCATAACATTTCCAATATTATTTTCTTCGAATACAGTTTTTGTTTGTTTTCAAGGTGAACAGTTAAATTTACAACTGTATAACTTTTACCGTAAATTAGAAATTCTTGTGATCTCCAAGCTGCTTCCATTGGACCTACATCTCTAGCATCAACGTAACTATTAATTTCATCAAATATTTCTTCGTCTCAATATTTTAATTTTTTAATTTTAATGTATGCTCTGTTACTACCTTCATGTATGAAGCCATAAATATATTTTATGCTTTGAATAGATGCACAGAATTTGATGTCGATATGACATGTATATTTCATGTACAAAAACTTATTACACGGTACAACCATTGAATCATCTACTGAAATTTAATTTTTTCTCCTAAGTTTACAAACAGGTTGTTTGTAAGTATTATTTTTTCTTTTATATTCAGGGTAACCATTCTTTTAAAATGAAGTTACGTTTGTAAAAGATTTTGGAAAATTTTTTTTACATTTTTTATCAATCAAACAAGGACTTTGTTCAGTATTAGGTCCATGAAGAATGTGTTTAATTAATAATTTTGTTAGTTTTGTATTACCAAAAGGAATTATAGCTGAAATAACTGCATAAATTTGTTCAAGGGGTAATATTTCTTTTTATCAGGATGCAAAGTTATTAATGTATGTGCATGACGTAGACCACGTGTTTAAAATTCAATGGTATAAATGTATGCTAATACTTTACCGAATATATTGTTGTATTGTTGTATATATGTAATAATGTCATCCAAAACTGACATTAATTCTAAGTAAAATAGTCTAACAGTTATGTTTAGAATATCATTTGGTGTCATATTTTTAGGAAATTTGTATAAAATTAACTTTTATTATTTCCATTAAGGATAACCCGTAAGTGTTACAAATAAATCTGGTGAACCACATTTTTTCATAATAGACATTGTATCTTGATAATGTTTCTGCGAGTATCATCATGAAAAAAAAATGTATTGTGTCATGTATACT